ATATTATTACTTTTATTTTCAATAGTATTATTAATTTTTTTTGAATTATTATTACTCATACTTCACAAATATTCAGAAAATTACACTTAATACGAATAATATTCTGTATTTTTAATTATATTAGATAATTACTATAATAATAAATTGAATATTTCAATTTCACTTGTATTTCACAATTTCTATAGAAGCAAAACTTTACTTTATTACTTAATCCTTTTACTTTATTAATATAATAACGTATAATTATTAAATTTTATGAAAAATTCAATTATGTAAAATTTGAATCTGTTCAACAATATCAAAAAATCACTGTAAAAATCACTATAATTATTTTCTTGTACTTTAAAATTAAAAATTTTAAATATTTAACTTTATAATTATAATTAAAAATTATTAAAATTTCTAAAGCGCATAAAATAAATCTTTAATTTACTGTGCTTTAATTACAAAACCGTAAATGTTATTAATAATTAAAATTAAATGTTCTTAAAGAAAACTTCCATAAATAATCTTAAAAGAATAACAAAAAAACGGGAGTAAGTATAATAGTACTCTAACACTATTAAAAAAACAAAAATTTTTTAATAAATAAAAAAAACTTTTTTTTTTCAATACAATTTTTAATCTCTTCTCTTAAAAATATTCTGAACTGATCGGCATATAACCGATCGCAAGGTATATTGTCCAGTTTAACGAAAATGTTGCACAAAAATGTGAGAATAACTTTTAATATTAAATATTAAATCTTAAGAAATTTAATCAATGAGTTCCGTAGATATGATAAAGAATATATGAGGCCCCTTCTGAACCCTGATATACCCAAGGTATTTACAAGTTTATTGTTTTTATACTCTGAATTTAAATATTAAATTTCAACAAAACTGGTTGATTATTTCTCTTTATATGCGTAAAAAAAATGTTAATTTGTTCCGAAATAAAAGTCCTATTGTTGACACATAATTTCTTTCAAAAATGACGTGGTTTCTCGTACTGTCAAACAATTAAAGTCCAGTTGTTGACACATAATTTGGTTCAAAAGTGACATGGTTTCCCGTACTGTCAGACGAAATTTTTATATGAAATTTCAAGAAAACTAATTTCTAATCGAAAAACGAAAAATCGGCGCGCACGATCGGCTCGAGACTTGGAATATTCCAAAAGTTGATCAAACCGACTTATCGCCAAAGTAAACTCAAATAAAAATTTTATTGAAAATCAATTCAGTCAAAATTGGAAGATGGAAAAATCGACAGAAATCTTATCTAAAAATAATTTATTTACGCTTCCCTACCACGAAGAATTGCGTTTCCTAGCGAAAACACGACATGTGAAATTTAATGCTATCACATAACCTCCCTTATTGTATAGGCATACGATCGGTAAAAAGTATGTATACACAATTCGTTACATACTTTTATTTATTTTTTTAAGTTTTTTTTTCTAGTTTTTTGCGCTTCATTACGCTTTCAATTACACATTTATTTATTTTTGACTTAAAATACCTTTTTTTTCTATATACTACCAATTATATTATTGTTATTAATATTAATAATTATGTCATTATTATTTACTTTAAGAACTTTTTTATATATTTTTTATTTTCTCATACTTGTATATAATATACGCAATGAATTTTTAGAATGCTCATTAAGAATTTCTTATATTATGAAGATTTTTAATATTATTTTTATTAAATATTTTAATAATATGAAAAAGTAATAAATATTTTGGTCCTACCCATCCATTAATTCATGTACAATATTTTACGAGAAAGCTTAGCTTACCGGATTTACCCTTTGCAATTAAAAATTAATATTGGTACATTTTATTTAATTATTTTTAATTAAATAATAAATTTAATTTGATTTAACGTGATTCTGGCCATACCTATATAGAAAATTCAATAGAAAATGAAATATTGGATTGTACGTACTCTTAACACATTGTTGACCGGGTGTTTTTTATAAGAACTAACGCGTGTGTCCGGCGATTTTTGGGAAAAATTGAAAATTCTCAACACTTTTTTTACATAATATATTTATTAGAAACTTTTTTATTGCATAATGTATTTATAAGGAACTTTGGACACATTGTATTAAATTACATGTTTTAATATTTTTTAAGAGTATGATAGGCTTCGTTATCGGAAGACGTCATATGAAATTCCCGGTCAACAATGTGTTAATATCTATGCTTAACATACACGAAGATTGCGAATATTTATAAGAAGTCAAAACATTTTAAATAATATTAATGTAGGTTAAATTTTGTGAAAAAAATCAAATTTGTATGCATACAAAAGTTTTTAAAAAAATACAACTATTTTTAAGAAATTAAATTGTCTCAGTCAAAATTAGTATAGTTTCAAGTATAAACAAAGTTTAAGCCTCAAAACTTCCCGAAAAACATCGACTTAGCAGTTTACTCTGCTTATGGGAACAGAGATTTTTAAATCTCGACTTAAATATATTATTTTTATATTGAAACGAGAAAAAATAGAGTTAATCATTTGTGGCACCCGTACGAATTTGTTATCCTACGACTGAACAAATATGCTTTAGCTGACCATGTCGGATGACCTTATACGTTTTATATTATAAACAGCATATTTAATTAATATTATAAACAGCATCTTATTTTATATTATGGAACCTGAAGAAATCCCACAGGTACACATATTTTAAATTAGGATCATATTCTTAATCGGAAATGTTAAAATTTTCTTTAATGTCCTGACAATATATCATACATATACACATTCATCTTCCTTAAATTCCAATTTCTATATGAAATTTAATAAATTTATTTCAGTCAATGACGATTACAATAAAATTTTTCACTTACATATCTTTCATATTATCAACTATATTACTAATACAATCTGTCTTACAAATGTAAACTGGTTCGTTACTTTTTATTTCTTCTTTATGAATTACACTTTTCCTGATCAACGAAAAAAAAAAAGAACAGAAGTTAATCAACGTCAGAATCTGATTAAGCGCAATGACTTAAAATGACCTATGATTTTATCATTTTTTTTTTCGTTCGTCTCATTTTGTTTTTTTATTTGTTTTAATTATGTAAATATTATTTTGTCTACAAATAATTATTTATAATCTGTATAAAATTCAAATTATACGCTAAATTTTCTATTATATAAATATAATTTTTATAATATCTTGAGAATTTTTTTAAAATTTCAGGAAAATGTGAAAATTATACGCTTAAGAAAACATACAATACTTGTATGAGTAAGAATGTATTTATAATAAAATAAAATAATTATATATTAATTATGTATTTTCAATATGTTCAATTTCAGGGCAAAAGAGGTCAGTAACTCCAATAATTTAACAAGGCCGAATTTGAATATTATTGGAAAATTATGCCTATTAAAACTGAACGCTAAAAAAATAAATTGTATACAGCATAGTTTAATAAATAAAATTTTATTTTTTTATTATTAGTGTCGAATATACAATTTGATATTATATTTTAGATTCTTACATAGTGAGAGAGTGTTGTATAGAATCCAAAGGAAGGTGCATTTAAAGCTCTTATGTAAGTTTTATTATCTAATGGAAATCAATTCAGGGAATGCAAGGAAAGACACGATGGTTTTTCCAGCTCGGAAAAGAAAAAATGAAATCCAGAATAAATACTCGCAGAGTAGATGATCTAAGTGTTTCTGTACGGCTATAGAATGCCCGAAAAGTGACTTCATATAAGACTTTGAATATTTCAAATACTTCTTATATTTTTTTTTTCGTTCACTTTCAGCTTTACTTACTATTAACGACTTAAAAATATTTATACATACATTACAATATTTATTTTAAATTAAATAATCACAAGTATGTAAATGAATTTCTCATTGTCAATTCAAAAATATTGATATGGACTACCTATGATGATCCCAATTTATATAAAAGCGTATGTTGCAGTATTGTGCGAATATATAAATCAATTTACTCACCTGCATTCTTTTAAATGCATTATCTAAAATAAAACTTAAAAAATTTTGTAATTTTGTATAAATAATTTGCAAAATTTCAATTTCTATAGTGAAAACCAACAAGTGATATGACTATTATGTAATTTAATATTTTTAAACTACTTTTTATAGGGCTATATTAAATCACTACACACTCAAATACTTTAGAATATTTGCATAATTGTAAGTAAGAACGGCTAATTATATTGAAATATTAAAATTATTTAAATAAATTATATAGGATTTTGTACGTATGTATAAACGCGTGCGAAACTAGGTCCAGTGTAAATACCAATAAATATTTACAAGAATAAAATTCAATTTTTGCCACCTTCCTCTCATGAAATCATCCTCTTACCCAAAAATTTACCCTTAGATTTTAAATTAAATAAAAATAGAAATACAATTCAATTTGCAAACTTCTTTGACATCATTATATCGAGATTACTCCTAAATTTATGCAAAATTATGGTAATAAGAGAATTATTTTAATAAAACGTTTTTCCATTATACTACATTACCTGCAATTGCAGCCTGTGTATGTAAGTAGAAGCTCTGGAATAAAATATTTAATATTATTATTGGTAAATGGTAATAATATCACTTATTTATCAATATATACTCGTATATATATGTACAAGCACACGTTACATTATAAATCCTGTTTAATTGCATACTCAACGCTGAATTAATTGTCTTGTAAAATGTTATAAAAATTTAATTGAAAAACTATGATTTACCATAATAAATCTTGATTGCCAACTAAAGATTATAAAAATATGTACATACATATATGTATGTATATATAGGTATATAATAAATATGTTAAAAATAGTAAATTTTTAATAATCATATCGATCACCTGTTAAGATTAAATTCTGATAGCTATAAACGGGTACTGATATTTGTTATCATTATTATTATTATCATTATTTATATTTTAAGATTTACGAATTTAATTTATTTTTTTTTAATATTTTGCATTTTAGTTCCTATAACTATTTTCTTTTAAAATAACTGTTAAAATGTATTTGCGGCAAATAATATTTGTTTTAAGTTTAACGCCATTCTATGTTAATTGTGGTATGTTAGATTTAGAATTTGTAGATTTTTAAGATTGTAGATATTTGAGGGAACCGAGTGTGACAGGAGAACCCTCCGATCCACTGCAGCCATTCCTGACTTATTGTAGCCTTTCCACGATTCCACCTATAATATCACCGTCCCAAGTATAAAACTGGAGATATTATGGGAGTTGGACAGCCTCATCCATGAGGAGTGTTTCGAATTAACCTCAATCTATTGATTTAGATAATGACTGAATATCTCAAGTTAAAAAATATTAAGAATTTTAAGGACGTTTTATAAAAAATAGTAATTTTATGTTAAGTAAAATTATACAATGATTGAACGCTAGAACATAATCCAAGTTCTTTTACATTTCTTAGATTTATAGTAAATTTTCCAGATAACTGCCTTAATCCAAAATTGATTATTATTTAGTTTTATGTACATACATATTTTTGAATTATACTTTTTCTATATTTTACATTGTAGTTAAATTCCTTGAATGCTATGAATGCCAATCGAATATTGATCCAGATTGTGCTATTAAACCAGGAAAACAACTTGAAGTTACAGATTGCCCAGATAATGATAAATGTGTTGTAATGGTTGGTAAGTGTATAAAAGTGATATTTAAACAAAATATACGATAATGCAATAAAAACAAACGTAACGCACTTTTTACCTACTATAAAGCGATTACACGAATAATACGAAAAAAAAAAATTTAAACAATTTTCACTTAATTTTGGATTTTCATCATTTTTTTTTTTTGTATGCACATACATACACACATTTTCTTTACTTTTTTAAACTTTACCTCCTATATCCTATCTTTTAATTATACATATTTCTTTACCAATTTTAATTGTAGCAAGTGATGGTATTACTCATCGTGGTTGCTATTCATCTATTATTACAAATGGTTATTGTCCAAGTAAAACTTGTAAAGCATGTGAAACATCATTATGTAATCATGAAATCTATCCACCGGATCGTCTTAAATGCTATCAATGTAATGGTGGTACAGATTGTATGAATGTTACAAATAGTAATTTATATAAACCATTACCATGTCAATATTATATTGAAAATGATAATGCACGTTGTTTTACTGATATTATTGATAAAAAAAAAATTGTAAGAGGATGTGTTACAAAAGATAAAAATAAAAATTGTGAAAATATTTGTTTAAAATGTAATTATGATGGTTGTAATAATGAACCAGGTACATATAATACAACATGTCAATTATGTGAATATAGACATGGTCCATGGACAACACCACGTAATTATGGTTGTAAAAGAAATCAAACACAATATTATAGTGATAATAAAGAAGAAGAAGGAAAATGTATTGTAACAAATTTAACAGCAACATGTAGTCAAGTTGTTTTATATGGTCATAAAGAAAAATGTTTTATACATTGGGATGAAAAAGAGAATTCATTGAAAAGAGGTTGTTCATCAAATAAAAATATGTTTCCAACAGCGAAATTTTGGGAATGTTATGGTGATAATTGTAATAGTGATTGTATTGATATAAAATGTAATGTATGTGATTCAAAAACCGATTTAAATTGTAAAATGAATACAAAAGTTTTAAACGATATAAAATGCCCAGATGAAACAGTATCATGTTTTTCATGTGAAAATAAAGGTAAATAAAATTAAACAAATTTTTATTTACAATAAGTATCAAGGTCTAAATTCTACGTAAATTAAATTCTTACTCAATAATTTTATTCAATTTTCATTGATCAAATTATATGGAGTCAAATTTTAAATATATTCAATTTTAGTCCAATTGTTAATTGGGCAATTTTAGCGAATTTTAACAATATTTTATTTTTAAATTATGAGGTTAATCATTGCTTATTTTCTTATAATACATTTACATGTATGTATTATTTTTTCTTTCTTTTAGATGGAGATCTAAGACGAGGATGTGGATTTCAAAGTACAACAAATGATGAGAAATGTTATCATTGTTTTGATGAGAATGGTTGCAATCGTGATACAGTTAGATCATGTTATAAATGTACATCAACAGAAAATATTAATTGTAAAGAATGGATTGATTTAACGGAAATTGAACATGAAAAATGTTCTAGCCCAGAAGAGTTGTGTGTCGTTACTAAGAGTAGTAAAGGATACATTGTTCGCGGTTGTGAAACAACAACAACTGAATGTACTGCTGGTGATCCAGATTGTAAACGTTGCAATGGAAGTTTATGTAATAGTGGTTTACATGAACATTTCTTAAATATTAATTAAATAAATATATTTTACAAAGCTTAATAAATAAATAATTAGCAAAAATTTTTTACTGATACAAATTTTGATAATTTTTTTTTTCTCATACTTTAAATAATGAGATTTATTTAAATATAAAAATTTATCACTTTGTGTTGATTTTTTCAGTAAGTAGTTTATATTAAATATTTATTAGAAATTTAAAATATTTAATTAAGATACAAGATCAATTTAAAATTCTTTAAGATTTATTTTTGAATTAAAATATTTTTTATTAACATAAAAAAGTTATGTTAGAATTTTTTATCAATAACAAAACTAAAAAAAATATCAAAAATATGTATTACAATATTTTCGTTCTTAAAAATATTTTTGTAATGATTCTCCAACAACTTTTTCCAATTCTATTACAGTTTTTCTTCCTGCTTCTTCAATAATAGTATTATCGTTCTCTAATAGTTCAGCCATAAATGGTATCGTTTCAGGTAGAAGTGAACTAAAATCTTCACCTAATTTTTTTGCTACTTCTATACAGGTTTTAAGTGATAACATTTTAATTTCAATCTGATCATTTCTACTTTTCAATAAAACTTCATAGTTTAATCGTTTCCAGGATACATCATTAGAAACTACTACAGCCAATTGTGAAATACAATTAATTAAAACTGTTTGAAGTTCTTCATTACCAATTACCAATGTATTTTCTATATGATCAGTTATTGGTGACATTAGAATATCAAAACGATGAACACTAATGAAACCTTGTGTATCATATAAGAAAATATTATATAATGTTTTCAAAATATTCTCTAATAAAATAACACATTTGTTTTTTTCCTCGAATTTTTCACTTAACTTATCTGATTTTTTATCTGACTTTTCAGATTTATAATTACATTTTATTAATAAATTTGCTGCATCTTGAATAAAATCACTAGCAAATAATACAAAAAGTGATTTAAGTGTTCCTGAAATTTTTTCAGACAAAGAAAAGTATGTAATACCACGATTTAATAATTTATCATTATCATTTCCTGAATTCCTCATAGCCCAATCATATAACTTTTGATAAAGTGGCCTGAAAGAACTTTCTGATAATTTTAGAATTAAACTTACAAATGTTTCTAAAATTTCATTTTCAATTTCATTAATTTCTTTCGTATCTATACAGTCATTCAAATTTGTACGAAAATCTAATATAGTTATAAAAAATTTTGTTAATTCATTTTGTAAAATATTAATATCAGCTCCTTCCGTATTAATAAAACTTTCTTTCAATAGTTTCATTAAATAAATAATTCCCCTATAATTTTCTTCCTCAATCAATTTTGTATAAATATTTTCACAATGTGGTGTTAATAATCGTAATGGAATTGAACTAGAAACTTTTGACCATATTGAATTCAACTTGTTGTACATCATTTGAGAACGATTATCTGATATCCTGTTATCTAGTTGTACCCAGACTTTAATTATTAACGCAAATAAATCCATATAATAAGGTCCCAAAAACAGGGGTAACGAATCAAACAACTTGTATACGCCAGCAAAAATTGCAATAGTTATATTATCTGGTGCTTGATTCTTAATATTTTCAGCTTCATCATTTAAAACTTCTACTATATATGGCATAAATTTATAAAGATTTGATATAGAATGAGCTTTCAAATTAGATGATATCTAAAATGTAAAAAAAAAACAAATGAATATCTTTCTTAACAATCAAGTGTAAATAACTTACTTCTGATATTGCTAGCACAACAGCAGCAACAATAGTTTTCGAAGTAGACGATCGTTTTTTTAAGATTTTCGATAATAATGCTAATATTTCTTTGAAATCATCAATACATATCAGGGCTAATTCTTTAGATAGCAGTTTAATAGCAATAAGTGCTAAATGTTGAATATTAGCTTCATCATGATTAGAATTTATATTTGACCCTACTGGTACTTTATTTAAAACTGACTTTATAATATCCTTCAAAGGTTCCAAAAGTTTGATCATATTCTCTTTGTTACATTTATCAAAATAATCCATTTTATATTGTAATTTAGTAATTAATAATTCGATCACTTTCTTTCTTACAACCGAAAGTTGATGTTGAATTAAGCCATGTACAACAAGAAGTAGCATATCAGCAGATAACAATGAAATAGCGTTGTCTAAAATTTCTGTGCAATGATGCAATATTATCTTCCAAAATTTATTGTGATTTGTTGCAGCATTTCTTTCAGCAGCAGTCATAACATGTGGTATAAAACTAAGTATTTTTATTATAAAATCTTGAAAATAAGGTTTTATTAATTTTTGTTGCTGTAGACTTAAACTTGCGATTGAATTAACGAAATCGGTTGATGAGGTTAAAGCTGACATAAATTGTAATATGGAAAATTTGTAATGCCTAAACTGCTTATCAGTATGATTGATAACATAAAAGAGTGATGTTTCTATAAAAATGAGAAATTCATCAATATAATAAAAAGAGATAAAACGAGTTTAGAAAAAATAAATGAATTTACCCAATTCTGTAACATCGATACTCATTTCATTGGATTCTTTGACCTTTTCTTCTGGCAATTTTCTTAAATATACAAAAAGTGCTACACAAGTTTCAATTAAAATGGTAGGTTCAAAATCTTTACAAATTTGTAATGCTATTGATAATCTTTTTGGAAGTTCTTCTGGCGATGAACTTCTACCCAAATTTCGGTTATTAACCTTAGATTTCTGTAACTTTTCTTTATCATCATTTACAACATGTGATTCAAAAAGAACACACAAAAACATCCATAAATATTGTTTTGCGTTTAATGTTTTAATTAGTTTTGTATATAAAAGTAATCGACGATGTTCAGGTACATCTAAAATTATGTCCGAAAAAACTTTAAGAATTGGTATTACTTTTGAATCCTTGTTGTTTTGTTCTGATATACCGCCATCGCTACACGATTCAACAAGCATTGGAATTACAGATTCAATAACATTAATAAGAATTTGAAATGTAAATGAATCATCTTGTCGGACAACTGACGAACCCATGAAGGTGAATACATTTGTAATATTATGTAATATTTGCTGTGGCACTATATTAGCAAAATGAGACAAAAGCATTAGAGCATGATGATGGGTTTGTGGATTCTGTGTTGAACGAATGCATTGAACTACGAGATCCATTCTTAAAGTATTATCATTAAATTTGTATTTTGATTTTTTGATAACTTCTTGAATTTTTTGACTCAAATTTATTAAGCAGGACAAAATTAACTGTTTTGCATAATCCAATGCAACCTGTTCTTCAAACTCTAAACATTTACTTAACAAATCAAATAGTATTGGTATTAATATTTCGGAGTTTTCAATATTTTTAATATTTTGTAATAATTCTAACAATGTAATTCCAATTTTCCATTCTGCCAAATTCAAACAATTTACTGTAGACTGTAAAGAAATAGCACGCCCACTATTAGGATTATTTCCACATAAATTTTTCATTTGGATTAAAATAGTTTTTATATGATCACCGTCAAGATGTAAACGTTTAATTAATTTTGCACCAGTAATGGAAACCGTACTTTCAGTAGCATTTGACATCGCTCCGATAATATGTCGCAAAAATATTTCTTTATATTTAACAGGCATTTTATCATACACATCTGTTTCAAAGACATTCATTATTATAGAAGCAATTGATTGAATTTTTCCGTTTATATTAATTAGAATATTATGATTTACGAGCGAATTTTCAATGAAATCCCATGCATTTCTATTTTTTGCCAGAATTGTTATTGTTTCTGCATCAAATCTATCTATAATATTTTTGTAGATTTCAGCGGAGAAATACTCTACAAATAAAATTGATTTATAAGATTTGTTTAAAATGTTAACATTTAATTCTACAATTTCTTACCTAAAGCAATTTTATCTTTGAATTTTAATTTTGCCTCCTCAAGTATTTTGCAACCCAAATTTATAAGATTTTCTAAAATTTTTGTATTATTTGCAAGTTTCATAACATTTAGCAGAAGAGCTTTCAAAACAATTTTCTCTTTATCGTCGTTTAATATTTTCAAAACTGAATTTAAAAAATCACGAGTAATTGTTATAAATTTTTTATCATTGGTTTCAGAATAACAAAGTAATGTGAAAAACACTACTGTTATTTGAAATTCATCCATTAAAATTTCTTTTTCAGATTCTAATATCTTCGATATTATAGCCAAATCATTTTCACTAACAGCAGATTCTAATTTCAATACGTTCTGTAAAGTTTCAATGATAGTTTTTCGAATAATAGATTCAGAATTATTCAATCCTAAGATTAATTTAATTAATATATTTCGGTTAATACTAAAATCCTTTTTATCTCCAGTTATTATGCAGTTAAATAATTTTATCGCACGAATTTGTAATTCATAATCTATGTTGTATTTATTAATTCTATCAAATATAAAGTAAAAGGAGAGATATTCCAATATTTCGGTAGATGATTGAAAAATTTGTTTCAATAAATTTTTTAAACAATAACCATATTCATCTTTCAATAAAGAATTTTTCTCTGAAAATGCTTTTGTAAGTACAACTTCGAAAATCCTCCTTAAAAGATTGGAAGTTTCCGATTGACTTGTAAAAGTTTTCTTTTCACATGATGAATCCTTTAAGAGTGATAATAGGAAATTTAGAGCGATTGATAACGATATACTATTCGGTTTTATAACTTGTAAGAAGTTATTTGATTGTGGAACAAATTTCATTCGTTTTTCAATTGATTCATATATCTTGAATGCCTTTAGTTTCAACGTTGCATTAGTTTTATATTTTAAAAAACTATGACTTAAAACTAATAAAATAAATGTACAATTTGTTGAATTTTCATAAAAACATTCATTCACATTTTCAAATGTTTTTAAAATAGATTCTGGAATCGGAAAACTTTTGATTTCTTGCATAATATTTTCGAAATCTTGAATTGTTTTCGGAATTTTAGTGGATGAATGCAAAAAATATTCCTTTAAAAATGGAATGAATGTTATTGATTCTTTTTTTGATAGCTTTTTTAATAATTTTAAATCATTTTCATTTTCTGACACAATAAGGGGCAGAAGAGTTATTAAAATCCGGTTTGTATCACAAGTTTTAACAAGATCTACATTTGTCATATGTTCAATAACATTGGTTTTAATAGTAAACCCCATATTTTTCTGTGAATTACACCTAATAAATATTTTAATAAGTTTCTCCAAGTACAATTCAATATCCATAATTTTTAAAAAATTATCTGGTGAAATTTTCAAAACTTCAACTAAAACTTTTTGATCGTCATCGCTCAGTCTGTCCGCTAAGCTATCTTTTATCATCGATTTACCTTCATTTGTTAAGGTAAGGTTGCGGAAATTCTGATTAATATAATTTATTGCAGCAATACGGTTTTCTGAATTCGGATGATATAGATTTTCATATATAGAAGTGCTATCTTCGGAATAAGATGATTTTAAACGAAAAGCTATAAAACATTTATATGGGTTTTAAAATTGTAAAAATCATAGCTCATAGAAAGTAAATATACCTAATATAAATTTAAGAGCTTGTTTTCTCTTTTCAGAAATATTGCCTTGTCCTTGCATTGTTTCTTTTACTATTATATCAAATACTGAAGGATATTGTTTTTCTAGCTGATATAAATAACCGGAATACATTTTTTTAATATCTTCTTGTAAAAGCTCATTTTCGTCGTCGGAGTCTAATTCCACAATGTCATCTTCTGAAAAATTTCGTTTGGTACTTTGATTGCTTTCTAAAATAGACCTAAAACGCAAATTTTCTTTTAAAACCTTTGTTATTATTTTATCAAATTTTTTACCTTATTACTATTTTACTCTCATGTTCTTGAAATCGTACTTCATCGAATAAATTTGTTAAAAACGATTGACACTTTGGCCATTCCGGGTCTTTATTGTGTATCTTGTCGAAACAAGCTCTTATTAAAGGAACACATAAAAATGTTACTCTAATACCTCTTTCAGATAATTCCTTAATATTAGAAACATGAGATTTTTTTGAAATAAAATTTATAAGTAACTTTTCAGGAAATTGCTTTATAGCACTTTGCAACTGATAAATTAATATTGATAATAAAAGAATATCAATTTGCAGAGATCTATGTTCCACATTGCAAATTTTTGATAATAAATTTTCTAAAATGTCTTCTTTTAAATTAGCTTTTGAAATCAGTAGAGCTGTTATCATAAAAGATGAAGCCGAAAAATCCAAAGAGTTCGATGAGAAACCCTTCAAAAGTGCTGGTAAAATACAAGAGATATGAGTCTCTTTAACAGTTTTACAATTCTCTAAAGCTGCTATTACTGTAATACAGTAAAAATTTATTTTTGTTTGCAACGTATTGCTTCTGTTATCTAATTCTCGAACAGATTCCAACGTTGAATTACAAATTGATCGTAAAAATGAAGCATCCTCAGAGGCTCTATTTTGTATTGCTGTCTTTGATAATGGTACACCAGCTTTTAATGATGCATTCATCCATATCCATTTTCCATTTGGATCACTCAAATTCATTGTTTGCAAACATTTCACAAAAATGTTTGTTTCATGATATGGTAATATAAGATCAATAAATTCATCTTTATTAAACTGATGAATATGAAAGCGTCTAATTAACCATTCCAAACATAAATGAGCTGGTTGCAACATAAAATATGGAGAAAGATGATAAAAAAATTTCTTTATCGTTTTGTTGATTAATTTATTAACTTCGGAATTCTCAACTGATCTTTCAAGTTCAATAGTATGAGGATCGAATAAAGTCTTTTCAAATTGTATAAAAGCTGGATTTAAAGCGCTTAGTTCAGAAATGCCTTTTTGTCCCAGTTGAAAAATTGTTTTTCTATCTTTTGTAGCTGCATCTTTTTTATCAAAAATTATAGACTGTTTGATTTTACTATCAACTAAAACAGAAGTTTGTGGCACTTTTAAACGCCGAAGTTGTTCAGCCAAAGATGTCGCCATATTTTTTTTTAAATATTTACTTTAAAATTAAAAAAATAATTTTTCACTTTTTTAAGAAAATGTTTAATTAACACAAAATAATCATGAACTTTGTTGGTTATTTAATCCCGCAGATAGAGCAAAAAAAACACGTGAATTACTGCCACAAAAATAATAGGTAAAATGAACATGCTTGAATTGACGTTTGTGTTTGTTTAAAAACAATTACTTATTTTTATTATTTAAAAATGACAACAAACATGACAATAATTTTTGTATCAAAATTTTTAAAGATTGGACAGTTGAAGCAAGATATAAAAACGCAGCGACGTAGCAGTTTTGTACTTAATTACTTTATTACATTATACACAAACGTCATTTATATATACGTAATACAAATCACATACATATATCATTTCTTTAGAAAACATATACATTTTCAAACATATATATTTCCGAATAACAGCGTTATCTTTTTACAATATGAAAATGATTTCAATTTTAAAATCTCGCATTTGTATTATATGATTCAAAATTATTTTGACAGAATTCATCAATTAATAGAAATTTTCTTTTTTTAAATTATAGCAACTTCAAATCTGTTTTTAAATAGATCCATGTTAGTTTTTTACTTCACAACATTCAGAACTAAATATTCGTTATATTGGCCCTTCAAATTTAAAAAAAAATTCAATAATAGCATATTGTTCTATTTTTAAATTAGAGTTGTTGAATTTTAGATTGTTTTCATTCTATTCATTTTGTTCATTATGTTTTGTTATATTCGTTTATTCCACTCTTAATCGTAATATTCCATCAAGTAGATCATTGAGTATAAATAAATATAACATAATAAACATAATTGCAACGTTTTTAACAAAAAGAATTTTTTCAGCGAAAATAATTTCTTTTTGGTAGGCTAGATTCTAAAAGAATTTTGAAGGGAGCTTAGCTGTTTTCCAATTTAGGATGAAAAATATTTTTTATACTCTTCTCAACCTATTCAAAAATTTCACTTTAAATATTTCAAACTTACATTTTGAAAGTGAAGTGAAATTTCAAATGCTGTCGACTAAATCAGTGTTAAAGGTAAATTAATTGGCACGTTGCATTAAGACGATCTATTTTAAAAGGCTCTCATTTTTCTTATGAAGGAACTTATTTTACGTTTTGATATTATTTTGACATTTTGCTTTTGACAAGCTTTACAAAAACTATATACACATGATATTATTCAGGTATGTCTTTTAATTTTAAAATTTGAAATGAAATGAGAGAAAAAAAGTTGTGAAGAAAATATAGAAAACGGACCAATGAATTAATTTTAATAGTTGATTTTAGTTTAAATTGCTAGTTTATGGGCATTTATAGTTGATTACATTTACAAATGATATTTCAGATTACGGGATTTACGCGCACAGAGAAGTATAAAAAATTAAAATGCAATTATTTTTCAATGTGTCAATTTTTTACCATAGTAATTTGATTATAGTAATTTATAATTTTTGATCGTGGCATTATTTTAATCAGACTTTACTGTATAGAATGGTTTTTGACAACTGACGTTTAAAACTGAGAACATTTTTTTTCTCTGAAATTTTTAATTTTACTAGAAAGAGTGTTAGATAGAAGAGAAATAGTTCGCTCGATTTATTGATTTTATTTTTTAATTTTCATACTCTTGTCAGTTGTGTTGCGTGTATGTAGGTTGTGTTTTACTTGGCTTAAAACAAAATAATACGCAATTACACACGGATTGAATATTTTAGGAATTAAAAAATTTATATAATTGATTGCTTTCTAAAATAAACCAAAAACGAAAAAAAAAATGTCGGTATTAAAAATTGTATGTTCTACCAATGAAGATGATACTAAAATCCTTTACATGGATTCACCGAAAAATTTTCAACAGCTAATGAGCTTTATTGAAGAAAATTTCAAAATTGAAAATGCATTTAATGAGTTTTCATATTATATTTATTGGATTGGTAAGTAAATATAGGAAATTGCAAAATATTTTCAAAAATAAGGAAAATAGAATATGCAATTAAGTATAAACAATTTCGCCTTTTTTAATATAATGTACATATATGTACATACCCACGAAATTAAAATTTTGTGTACATTCTTAAGTACATATCAATATCCCTGCTTACGATTTATATTATAAAGTATAACATAAAATTTTTCAGATGACGAAAACGACGAGGTGGAGATAAATAACAACTATTCTTTTGATATGTTTTGCCGATTTTCTTCGATACAAAAGTTGTTCGTAGAAATCACTGATTTGTCTGATGGACAAAAAAATGAAAAAATTCAAAACTTGAATGAAACGCAAGATGATAATAAGAAAAACAATGAAGAAAGTGATGAATTTTGTGAAACTGTGCATACAGGGGTTACATGTGATGAATGCAATGTTTCACCAGTTATCGGTTTTCGTTATAAATGCTTAGAATGTGAAGATTACGATTTGTGTGGTGTTTGTGAAAAGAACAATGTACACAGTATTCACAAAATGATTCGTTTGTCCAATAAGATACCAAAATGTGAAGATTTTTCTTTTGAAACCAGTTCACCAACGAACGATTTCTGTACAATTGAAGATCAATCATCAAAGAAAAATGAATCATCATCTTCAAGACAATATAAGCATGATGAAAATAGGGAAAATAAAAATCATAAGAAAACTTCTAACCCAGGTTTGTTTGCAAATTTATTTCAAATGATGTCTGGTATGGCTGAAGGAGAAACTTCTGCTAAAAATTGTGAGAATTCAAATGAAAAAAATGAAAATAATTTAAACCGTGGTGGGAAAAGCAGTAATGGAAATAATGAAAATAATCCAAATGATAATAATGATAAAAATAAATACAAATTTAGCTACAGGTTTGGTTCTGATAATGAGTATAAGGGTAATGGTTTTAGCTATGGTCATACAGGTGGCACTGGATATGGTTATTGTTCTAATAGTAATAGTACTAATAATAATAATAATGGATTTCGGCCTAATGTTAGGGCATTTGGTTTCACAAACCTTAACAATTCCAATCAATCTTTTAATCACTTTGCAAACGTTAATGGAAAACCTATCGATCCAGAAATACTTAAAACTGGAGTAAATATATTTACAAATTTTGGTGAAAAGATTTCAACTATTATAGATTCAGCTAGTGGTACTGTTGAAGTAGATGTTAACGGATCAAAGACAACTTTCAAAACAAAGAAAGAATTTAAAAATATTTTTGATCCAAAAAATATGGAAGAGCAAGAGGATAACAAAAACAAACGTGAAGAAAAAACTTCAAATGAAAATGAAGAAAATACTAATGGATGTACTTTTAATAATTCAAAAAATTCTAAAGAGCAAGAAAATGACGACAATAATGATGATTCAATTAATTTGAACAGCTCTAAGCTCGATAATGCAAATGAATTCGTACCATTTAATATAAAAACATTTCCCTGTAGTTATAAATTTAAGCTAACCACTGATGATAATAATCCAGTATCGGTAGTTTTAGAAAGTAATACACCTGTAGAGGACAATGCAGATAGAAAAAAAAATGTTACGACCAAATGCATTTATCATGAAAGTAAGTAAATAAAATATATTTAAATAAACACCATTAAAATTTTGGTTTTTTTAATTTTTAGAACCTCATATTAATGATTCAATCATCGCTATGATGGACATGGGATTCAGTAATAAGGGACAATGGTTGACTTATTTATTAGAATCAGTGAATGGTGATATTTCGCAAGCTTTAGATTTATTGAAATCTTCAAAATAGTTTCTAAAGGATTTCATGTAAAATACAAGCAAATTATTGCCGATTTGTTCAAGTGTGATATTAAAAATTTCATAAAAGATAAAAATATGCAAGAATCAATATTTTTAATTCATATTCCTTTTTCTCAATTAAAGAATACATATGAACAGTTTTAACATTAAAACTGTTTTAATTAAGAATTTTTTTTTTTATTAATTTTGTTAAAATTAAAATATCTGAATTGAAATTTTTTTTTGTAGGTAATAGAAATTTGTACTTTTATTTAGGTATTTATGTTTTTATTTTAATCGTTTCCTTGAAATTCATTTTGTATGTTGTGTGATAATAAAACGAAAGTGTTTAAGTTCAGTACGGCAATTTTGTTTGTATTTCTGTGGGTTTTTATTTTTAATATGCGTTTTTAAAGGCAGGTATGTATTGATTACTAATTAACTGCATTATCTGCATACATGTGTGCATCCTTAGATATGTAAGTATATGTTTCATACCCTGCACTTCGTGAATGATACCCTGATATTCTTGCTCAGCGTAAAATTCTGCGTCGATTTAGACATGTCCGTCCGATTGCACGATAAATCAAAAAAGAATAATGCAATCGACACCAAACTTTCACAAGTTTTTTTTTTGTGTTAAGGACGAACCCTATTGTAATTGGACTAATTTGGACAACGGTTTTATGTTAAATATTTCAAAAACTAATAAAGCTATACATGTGTCCAATTATATTCTACACTTGCTCTAGAAATTTTAATGGGATAGCTGCACCGGTTCGGGTGGCTGCCATACAACTCCAAAAGCAAATTTTTTAATTTGGAAGTCAGATTCATGACATTTGGCAGTCGTGTGTTCAATTATAGGTCTGACATATTTTTGAAGTTTTGGTGGAATTGCTTGACAGGTTCGAGTAGCTCCCATACAAGTCCAAAAGCTTATTCAAATATTTGAAAAAATAATAAAGTCAGATTCATGAAACTTGGCAGTCATGTGTCCAATTATAGGTAAGACATATTTCTGAAGTTTTGGGTGAATTGCTTTACAGGTTCGAGTAGCTCCCATACAAGTCCAAAAGCTTATTCTAAATATTTGGAAAAATAATAAAGTCAGATTCATGAAACTTGGCAGTTATGTGTCCAATTATAGATCAGACATTTTGTGAAGTTTTAGTGGAATTGCTTGGCAGGTTCCGGTACTTGCCATACAACTCCAAAAGCTTATTTTAAATATTTGGAAAAATAATAAAGTCAGATTCATGAAACTTGGCAGTCATGTGTCCAATTATAGGTCAGACATATTTCTGAAGATTTGGGTGAATTGCTTTACAGGTTCAAGTAGCTCCCATACAAGTCCAAAAGCTTATTCTAAATAAGTATTTGGAAAAATAATAAAGTCAGATTCATGAAACTTGGCAGTCGTGTGTCCAATTATAGGTCAGACATATTTCTGAAGATTTGGTTGAATTGCTTGACAGGTTCGAGTAGCTTCCATACAAGTCCAAAAGCTTATTCTAAATATTTGGAAAAGTAATAAAGTCAGATTCATGAAACTTGGCAGTTATGTGTCCAATTATAGGTCAGACATACATATTTCTGAAGTTTTGGGTGAATTGCTCTACAGGTTCGAGTAGCTCCTATACAAGTCCAAAAGCTTATTCTAAATATTTGGAAAATTAATAAAGTCAGATTCATGAAACTTGGCGGTCATGTGTCCAATTATAGGTCAGACATATTTCTGAAGTTTTGGGTGAATTGCTTTACAGGTTCGAGTAGCTCCCATACAAGTCCAAAAGCTTATTCTAAATATTTGGAAAAATAATAAAGTCAGATTCATGAAACTTGGCAGTCATGTGTCCAATTATAGATCAGACATTTTGTGAAGTTTTAGTGGAATTGCTTGGCAGGTTCGGGTACTTGCCATACAACTCCAAAAGCTTATTTTAAATATTTGGAAAAATAATAAAGTCAGATTCATGAAACTTGGCAGTCATGTGTCCAATTATAGGTCAGACATATTTCTGAAGTTTTAGTGGAATTGCTTGGCAGGTTCGGGTACTTGCCATACAACTCCAAAAGCTTATTTTAAATATTTGGAAAAATAATAGTCAGATTCATGAAATTTGGCAGTCGTGTGTCCAATTATAGGTCAGACATATTTCTGAAGTTTTGGGTGAATTGCTTGACAGGTTCGAGTAGCTCCCATACAAGTCGAAAAGCTTATTCTAAATATTTGGAAAAATATTAAAGTCAGATTCAAGAAACTTGGCAGTTGTGTGTCCAAATATAGGTCAGACATATTTCTGAAGATTTAGTTGAATTGCTTGACAGGTTCGAATAGCTCCCATACAGGTCCAAAAGCTTGTTCTAAATATTTGGAAAAATAATAAAGTCAGATTCATGAAACTTGGCAGTTGTGTGTCCAATTATAGGTCAGACATATTTCTGAAGATTTGGTTGAATTGCTTGACAGGTTCGAATAGCTCCCATACAGGTCCAAAAGCTTGTTCTAAATATTTGGAAAAATAATAAAGTCGGATTCATGAAACTTGGCAGTTTTGTGGTCAATTATAGGTCAGACATATTTCTGAAGATTTGGTTGAATTGCTTGACAGGTTCGAGTAGCTCCCATACAAGTCGAAAAGCTTATTCTAAATATTTGGAAAAATAATAAAGTCAGATTCATGAAACTTGGCAGTTGTGTATCCAATTATAGATCAGACATTTTGTAAAGTTTTAGTGGAATTGCTTGGCAGGTTCGGGTACTTGCCATACAACTCCAAAAGCTTATTTTAAATAAAGGGTAAAAGGTAAAGGAGTAATATTTGCATCACTTGCAAATCATTTTTATTGAAAAATTTTACGAAACAATGCATTTTTATTCAAAGTTTCTAAATAAAATCAATTTCGAAAGTTGAAATTCTATAATTAAAACCAAAATATTTTTTAATAATATTCCATCACTTTAAGTGAGGCTTTTAATGGGTGGTAATTTTTAAAATTCTTCAAATATGCTATAATGTGTAGCTGCAACTCGTTTAAAGCATAATTTTAAAATTAAAAAAAATATGAAACATTCGAAGAATTTACAAATTATGTACAACCCTGGATGCTTAAAGTTCTTTTCTATAAGTACTACCATTGCTCATTTTCATTGTCATAAAGCTGTCAAATATATTGCATTAGAAGAATATTTTATTATTGTCATTTTGATTTCAGCTTTACTAATTTCATTTTAATAGAAAAATAAAAACAAAAAACTTCGTAATTCATAGTTCGTATTTAATATTGAATCTAAACTAATTAATAAGTCAACAGAATTTGTAATCTATTTCACAATATTGTGTTTTGTATTAAGAGGTACATATTGTAATATATGTATATTAATTTCCTATTTCATAAATTACTACATATGTATTCAGTAATTTGAATATAAGTAGGTACATACATACATATGTATTTTTTTTTAAATATTAAATATTTCAATATTTGCAGAATTTATTACACAAGGATACGAGATTAAAATTTTGTGAGCAAGAAAATGGCTACTGTAAAAATAGTTTTACAATCTCAAGAATTTGTTCGAGTTCTTTATTCTAAGTCTCTTGAAAATTATTCTGATTTAAAAAATTTATTACAAAAAAATATTGAAAAAGATTTCAACAAGAAACTATATTGGATTGGTGAGTAGAAAATTTTTCAATATAAAATACATAGTTAAAATTAAATCTGATTAAATTTCAAAGTTTTTTCACTGTTCAGCTTTTACAAGCATGCTCTACGATTACGATCCATGCATTGCTTTATATTTTAATTTCAATTTGTAAAAATCAACGAAAAAAATCTTCCAAGAATTTCCTTACAATAATAATGATGAATAATTATAACTTATGTTTTTTAGATAATAATGGAGATCGAGTTGAAGTATTTAATGAGACATCATTTAATAAGTTTATTCATTTATCTTCAGAAAAAATATTAATTGTAAACACTGGAATAAGTTTTAATAACTTAACAAACAGCAATGTTTCAAGGAATATAAATAATAATAATAATAACAATAATAATAACAATAACCATTGCTTTTATCGTCGTCATATTATAAATAACAATAACAACAATAATAATAATGGTTACGTGTATGGACGTAGAATAAATAATAATAACAATTGTAATGGCTCCCCGTATAATAGAAAACACATTGATAATAATTCCAGTATCACTAATAATAATAATAATTATAACAACAATAACAACAACAATGGCTGGGGCTATTCATTCTGTAGCAGAAATAATTCTTCAGGGATGATATTTACCTCTACTAACAACAACAACAATAATAATAATAATAATAATAATAACAACAACAATGGAGAAACTGATTACAGTTTTTTGTACGTTAATAATAATAACAATATAAATAGCAATGATCATGATGATGATTTTATATGCATTACTAACAATAATAATAATGATTGTTCAGTTGCTAGTATCACTAACAACAATAATAATAATTGTTTTGATTTCGGTGAGCCTAGTTTTATTGACATTGAACAATCTAATACTGATAATTTGGATCCTGTTAATATTACAGTAGACATTGCTGTTACTAGAAATAATACTACTACTAAAAATAATGAAAAAAAGGAGTCAAATCTAAATGATTTACCAAAATTTGATTCAGATGAATTGATTTCTATTGAAGATAATTCTGATATTGCAGACTCTATTTCTTTAATTAATGATAATGATGATGATGTGGAAATTGCTGAACAAGCAAATCCTGAAGATGAATCAAATTCAGAAACCAATCAAATGGAATGGAATGGCAATGAGGAAATAAATAAAAATCAGAAATCAAATTCTTCTGTTGAAGTAAACAGTGAATCTAATCAAAAGGATTTCCAAATTGAAAAAAATGTTCAAAATATTCAAAAGAATACAAAGTTGGATAATATTAAATATATTGATGCGAATACTACATACCATAAGAGTAAGTTCCGGTTATTTCATTCAAAAAATTGAATTTTTATTGTATAAAATTTAATATTTTTTTTAGAGTCACACATTAATAATGCAATTATTGCAATGATGGCAATGGGTTACCGAAATGAAGGAAAATGGTTAACTTACTTATTAGAGTCTGTTGACGGGAACATTAATGAAGCACTTAATTTGTTACAACCCGTAAAACAAAATTAATTTTATGAAAAATTAATTAAGGCAATATTTAAATATGTAATTTTTAATTACTTTTTTTTTATGAATTCTTTTTTCTTTTAGTTTTATTTTATAATTTTGTAAAAGATTTAAATAAATTTTATTTGCAAATATTAATATAAGACGAGTTAAGTTGACAAAGGGGTTAATTTAACATTTTGACGAGAATCGAGCTTTTCGAATAGAACATCATTAAATTTCATATATTTTCAACTGTGCTTTCATATATTTTCAACTCTTATAGCTAGAAACTTAATAGAAGACGAGATTGATCGTGCGCATAGGAAATAAGAAACAAAAAAATTAATAGTTTTACAATTTGTTAATGAAAAAATGTGTCACAATGCAAATGTAAGTCAATCCCTTTGTTCACTTTCCGCTTCAACTTCAACATAATATTTACATATTATTCAGATATTATTCAGATATGTACATATAATATTAACGTATATTTTGGCTTAAAATTAGATTAATTTGAATTGAATTTTGTCTTAAGAATTAAAAATGTACTTTTTTATCTATTTAAGAATAGGGTGCAATTGTGATATTATACATAATGGTGCATTCTTTTGACATCGTTTAAGACCTCCTGTACAATCTCTTTTCTATAAGAAGGATATTAATTTTCTTGTTAATGATTTTATTATTATTGATAAAACCAATGATATTTAGCACTTTTCGAGTGTTTAAGTCTTTTTGATTTCAAGAATTTTTATGTCATTTGACACTGAAAAATCCCAAGGAAATAAAAAGGAAGATATTGATTTTGCAATATAAATTGAAAAATAATATAAATATGTAAAATGAAATTGAATGCATTTTGAATTGCTTTAACGTAATCTTTACTATTATATAAAAGGAAGTTTAAATTTAATTATTCTGTCCTCAATAATTGCATTTTTATTCAATTGTTGCATATCATCAATGATGAAAGTGATGAAAATTTTAATCACACCAATAATTAAATATTTTATTTAAAATTCAAATGCTCTTTAGAGTTCGATGAGACGATGGACATTGGAAAACTGAATTAATAAAACAATTTAAATTTTGTTTTTACTTTTTATATATGTTTTTAATATTTAACATCTTAAAATTCTACTATAAATTTTTTTTTTTTTTCTGATTTTCCATATTTGTTTTAATAAAATTATACACAAAAAATGTAATTACATTTTTGTTTTCGTTATTTTTTTTTTTTCAGTTTTGCATAATGTAAATTATAATAATTTCATATATAAAAATAATTATATTTATTAATCATAGAAGTTAATAATAATATTTTAGTGTTTCATTATGTAACACAATTCTTAAAAATTGTGTATTTCAATTTAAAAAATATATAATATATTACAATTTTATATTTATTGCAATTGTTTATTTCGTATAATAACTAAAATTTAAAATGGCACTTATGTAAACTTAAAAATAATCAAATAAAAATCTAAAAAAAATTAATTACCTATGTGTAACAAAAAAAAAAAAAAAAAAATGAAAGCTTTTCATTTTGTATCGTGAATTAAAAATTTTCAGTAACTATAAGATTGAGATTTAAATGTCTTCATTATGAGTATTTTTTTTTTGTTTCTTAAATATATTAATAAAAAATATTCAAAATTTCAAAATTTCTCATCATCAATAAAAATTTAAGTAATTTGATCGCAGTTTTCATTTAATGTTTGTATGAATTGTATTTAAATTTTCGGTATAAATTGTGGGGCTCTTATAAAAATATTAAAAAGTTCGAATAAATAATTAAATTGAAGATCAATTCTGTTATATTCAGATCAATTTATTTTATGCTTTTTAAATTAAAAAATATAGTTTTTGCAGCAGTATCTTTATGTTCTCTAAGTTATTTAAGTTTTAAGTTAGATATGCGAAAGTATATTTTTTCAATTTATCAAAAACTCGCTTTCTAACATGTCTTTGGCATCTTATAAAATATAATAAATGTCTTAGAACGAATTTTATATTCGTTTTGTGTTCTTTAGGGGCATAAAATAAAATAAATTTTAACAGATATAGACAACTTGTTTAAATGACAATTTTTTAATAAATAACCTTTAGTTCTCGAAATGAATTCTGTACAAACTTGAATATTCGGTGTAGAGGTAAGCTGTGTACTAAATATTATTAGAATTCTAGTAATAACAGGATATATATTTTGGAGATTTAATCTATGTACCGAAATGCTTGGTGTTTTTGTACTCACGCTTGATTTTTTCAAATCTGCTCTAAATTTACTAGATTACTGTTATTAATTGCAATTATAGACTAAGCTATAAATGTTAGCTTGTAAATTCGAAAATCAAGTTAAAGGTGACATCAAGGTGTTGATAATATTAAAGATAAACGATTTTTTTCTATTGATAATGAAAATTTGAAATCTTACTTTAAATATATTTACAAATTAAATGTATATTTGTGGGTTAATTGAAAGTATTAAATAATCAAAACAATTTTAACTAATTTATTTATGCACATATTTTAAGAATTTTTTGTTTTAATGAAAATTTTATATTAATTTCAATATTCATAATGTTTAATACTTTCAATTGAATCATTAAAATTAAATTTTTGGCAGGTATTTTTGTTCTTTTTTCAATTTTTGATATTAAGGTATTACATAATATATAATTATTTTGTTTTTTAATATTAATATTTTATTTATTAAATTTTCGCTTTTTAATTATATATTTTATATTATTTTTAAATATAAAAAATCAATCATATTCTCTTAAATCTATCACATTTAATAATGGGAATATTATTCAAAAATATTGAGGTTTTCATTAAATTCGAAATTAATTTTATTAATAAAATTATCAAATTATTTTAATAATGTCCCATTACATAAAAGTTATAGGTCTAAGATAATTGTGGCGGTGAATGATTTTAAAAAATTTATATTGGCAATAAATTCAAAATATTATTTTAATTATTTATTATTTTGACTAGGTTTTCGGTTTTTTTTTTTAAATTATTTTATAGTTTTCAAAATTTAATATAAGAATAAATAATATTATATAATATAATAAGTATATGATAATATATAATGTAGGTTGTAATTATAATTATTCAATTGGTTTGATCTTTTGTAAAATTTTCCATTTAATTTTTTCTTTTCTTTTAAGAATAATTTATTACCAATTTATAATTTATTCTAAAAAATTTTCTTATTAACTAAATATATTTTGTGAATATTGAAATTTTTAAACATATTTTGTTAATTGTGAGTAAAAATCTGATAAACAACTTTGAAGTTGAATAAAATTAGGACGTTCAATTGGTGATAATGCCCAACAATATGCCATTATAGTAAATCTAAAATTATAATTAAGATTAAATATTAAAAATTTTTAATGCATTTAATGTAATTAATATTTTACTTACAGTTCATCTGGACAATTATATGGTTGTGCTAATCTATAACCATCTCTTAAATATAATTCCATTTCGAATGCATCAACTTCAGCATATGGTTGTTTTGCAAATGTACATAATTCCCACATAAGTACACCAAATGCCCATGTATCGCTTGCTTCAGAAAAATGTTTTTGTTGTATTGTTTCTAATGCTAACCATTTAATTGGACGATTTTCATTATCACCCAGACAATGATAATCACCAGGAAATAAATCTTTTGATAAGGAATTATCAGCCAATTTAACACATAATTGATCATCAATTCTGTTAAAAAAAATTTAAAGAATTATTTGTTTTGTGTTCGAATAAGTAAATCCGGATAAGTAAATCGGATAAAAGAAAAAATTTTTATTACTTACACACAATTTCTTGTTGCTACATCTTTATGTATAACACCATGTCTATGTAAATGTCCTAAAGCCATTGCTAATTGATTTGCCATTAAAACAATTTGTATTGTTGTTATACCACGTGGTATTGTATTACCACTTATATTATCCATTAAAAATAATTTTAAATTTCTTGTATTATTTGGTGCTGGATATAAAACATATGGTGTTGCATGATCTTCTATTGATACACCTAATACTGATAAAATACCAGAATGTTGTGCACCATATAAACTCATACCTTCTTGTAATAATAATGATACTTGTATTTGACTAGCACGTTGTGATACAGTTTTAACTAAAACCTCTTGATTATTATTATATGTTCCTTTATATACTCTACCATATTGTCCTTCTTGTATTAAATTTGATAAACGTACTCGACATCTTTGTACTGTTACTTCAGAAATACGACGATGAAATTGTTCCGGTTCAGATTGATAACCACTATTATGTGTATTATTATATCGTGGTAATGTTGCATATGTTGGATCACATGTTGATGGTGATAAATATATTGATGTTACAGTTGATTGTGGTATATTTATTGGTAATTGTAATGATTGTGTTGGTGGTGGTCTCTGTTGTATATGATGTATATGTTGAAAACTTGATGTTTTCATTAAATGATTTGTATTTATTGGTATACCACTTTTAACTGGACCACGTGCACAATATGCAATTAATAAAAGTAATGCAACTAATACTAATGCTAATACACCACCAATTATAAATGTTATAAAACCACTTTGTGGTGGTATTACCGTTTCTAATAATAATGGATCATTAATATTATTATCATCAATTTCTGAATTTAATAAACAAATTTTTTTTCGTTTTAATGTTATTTCAGTGATATTATTTAGGGCACGATTTAATATAACTTCAATTGAAATTGTTAAATGAACTTCAGCTGCTTTAAGACCAGAACATTTCATACCAATTGCAAATGTTTGTACTGATGTTGGTATATCACCAATTCGGGTTATATTTAATGTTGGACGTGGTAATACATCTGGATCTGATGACATAACATTTATTTGATATGGTAATGGACGACCAGCTAAACTTTGCCATGTAAATGTTATTTCAGATATTTGTGCTGCAATTGGTACAACAAAATGCATTGCATATTCATTTATTTGACCTTCTCTTACATAATAAAGTTCAGCTGAAAGACCTGCAAAATAAAAAGAAAAATAATAAATAAATTTTAGCAATAAATAGCTTAAATATTAAAAATTTGTATAATTTTAAAAACAATATCATAAATTGCATATATTTAGGAGGACAGGATTGTTAATTAATTTAACAGACGAGAAATTTTAAAAATTTACTTTTCTTTTTAAATATATGAAATTTTATTTTATGAGCAATAGCAAGCCAACAATGCCTCCTCCTCAGTAATTAGCAAGCCAACAAATCTACTACAAATTTACTTACTATTCATATACTAAAATTTATTTCACCATTTATAATTATTTTTCTTTTAATTATTCCAACTTTATTTTACTAATATAAAATTACATATTAGCAAATAGAAATTTAATTAATATTAATTCCATCATGATCATGACCATATTAAATGGCATAATTACTATATATGCCCAGGATTAAAAAAAAAAAATTAATAAGGCGAGACAGCAAACAAAAAAAAAAGATAATCCCTTTTATTTATTTTCATTACAATGTGGAATATATGAGGAAATTGACTCAGAATATTTTGTATACATATATAAAGAGAAAGTTGAATAATATGACAAGAAACTGAATTAAATTTAATATATCCTTTAACTGAAAAATGAAGACCTACCGAAACAATATCTTTTATTCTTTACTTGCCATTTTTAGGATAATAAGGACTATTTAATATAGAAATTATTGTAATATGTATGTGTGTATATATAAATATATGAGATATTATAAAATTAGGAAAAACAAATAGAAAAGTCGCGACATGAATTAACTCACTGTTATTTGAGAACTTATGGACGTTTCGAATTTCCTTGGGTTACAAAAAAATTATTTATGTAGGATTATTAAAAAAATCAATTAAACATTATAATGTACTTGTCATTTATAAGGGGACAAAATATTTCAAAAATTTATCGGATTAGTTATGACTTTGAATATTTTGCGACTTTGGAAAAAAATATGTCGAATTCACTATACTTAATATCAAATTATCATATTCGTTTGATTTATTCATAAACTGTCCATACAAAATAAGCCTAGCTTTATTAGTATATAATAAATAAAAAATTACTCTACATTGTTAATTGGAATTTGGGATTGGGGTACGGAAAATGGCTCTGCTTGATTGTCCTGATTTAAGGTAATTGGTGAGTGTTCTCACTGAACACTGCCTCTCGATGTTTCATCTAAAAAGGATTGACAAAGTAGGCAACGGAGTTTTCCATTTGTTTCTGGAAAAGAACGAAACGATAGAGCACTTATTATTTGAATGCGAGGCTGTTGCTCGTTTTGTAACCCGCAATATGATCTCGCGGCTTGATGTGGCTACTATACTGCGGTTTGTCCTTGGCCTGGGTATAAGGCTAATGTAGATGGGGAGGTTGAATCACAAAAGATCCCAAGGGTTAACGTGAGAGTGGCTTAAAAAAAAAACAAAAACTCCAGACTCATTAGTTGAAGGGCCGTTGCTATAAGTACTGCGCCATTTGCTCATACTTCATTTTTAATACCCAATGCTATGAGAATTCTTCAAATTAACGAATTCGTGATACATAATAAATCTATTCATTTTTACTATACTCAACTGTAACTCTATACATTTTAGAATATATTTAGAACTTTCTATGTAAAATTCTCCGAACTGAACTAGAATTACATAACACTTTAAAAATATACGAAAATCATAAATGAAAAGTGAATGGGAAAAAAAAAAAATAAAATTTCTGTTTTTTTTTCTGTTTTGTAAAAATTTGTCAGTTCCATTTTTCTTTTTTTTTTTGGTAAAGGTATGAAAACTAAATAGGTAAAACCAACTTTTTCTTGGTAACTACACGAATTATCGCTTATCATGTAATTTTTGTTTTTCGTTTTTGTGTGTTAAGTAGGAAAATTTAAAAAAAACAAAAACGGTAAAAAATAATTTTTACATTTTTTTTTTCCTATATACTTTTCTTATGACAGGTGGCGCTGAGTTTGAATTTCATTTTGTCATAAAATTGGTGTGGGGGCTTTTGGAAACAAAAAAGAAAAAAGAAAGAAAAATGACATAAAAAAGTTTATTTTTTTTTTCAGGTGTTTAAAAGGTTGTAAGTTTTTTTCTAAGAGAAAAAATTAGAAAAAATACATTCCTCTTTTCATTCTTCTTCATCTCACACCTTCTCATCTTGCATACTCTCCCACAAATATACTTGTGTTATGTCATATATAGTTAGAAGTTTTAATTGCAGTTTTTATCTTTCTTTACAAAAACAAAAAAAAAAGTGTCAAAACAATTTTCAAAGAAATCACAAATAAAACCAAAAATTTATCACCTCAAAGATAATGTTATAAAAAAAAGACAAAGTTTAAAGTGATATGGTCGTGACCTAATTTTCAACAAACACACGAGAGAAAACTTTGACAGAGAGGGGGAGGGAAAAATTCAGGTCGTTTGTATGAGCAAAAAATAGAGCGAATTCATATGATTTACTCCAAAAAATGTTTTTAATGAGGTGGGTGGAGGGGAGGTGGGGGAAACTGATGAATTACAAGAATTGTGTTTTCATGAGACTGCGTCTTTTGATCATTTAAACATTTTATTTTTAACGTATATATGTGAAAAATGATTTTGTTCCTTTGATTATTTGAAAAAAAAAAAATTTACATTTGTTATAACATTTTTGTTTTTTAATTTTGTTGAAATTTTTTAATCCTTTTGTATACCTTTTTCTTTATTCCTTTAATTAAATAAATTGAAAAGGAGAGAGAATTCAAGGCTATCCTGTATTGTGACAGAAGATTTTAAAATTTAATAATGTTTTTTAATGTGAAACTCATGTGTGCCCAAAAATTATTGTTCTTTTGATAAAACAAAGAAAACTATAAATAAAATAGAGCAAAGCTCTTTGTTCAAATTTTTGAATATAAAGAGTATAAATAGTATTTTTGAGTATAAAGAGCATTTTATTAATATAGATGCGTTCTTTTTAAGAGTGTGAATGCTCTAAATGTTTAAAATTTCAATATCACATATTTTTTCTTTTAATAAGTATTTCCATTTTCTTACAAATCACCCAAATTTAGCCCATTTTATAATTTTAAAATTGTCCCAATGGCATGATCAGAATAATGGCCTAGAATAGAGCAGACAAATTAAAAAAAAAAATACATGATTTTTGCAAACAACAATATTGAAACTCATTCCTCTATATATAGATAAGAAAAAGAGTTAACATGCTGCCTTCCTTGTCAAGTGAATAATGACAATAAAATTAATGATCTAAGACAAAGCGTAAGGTCAGGAATTGAATGTTGTTGTGATTAAATCGCAAAATAGAAATTTTTTTGGTGATTCGCAGATTTTTTGCATGCTAAGTTGCTCAATTTCATTTTAACAATTTGTTACTGTTTTGGATCCAGAAATAGCAAAAAAAAAAAACAGAAATCAGGCTTCAGAAAAATATTTATGCGGTTTTTCAGCGACATCTATACAACAGCATTAAATTAATCTTTATTCTTAATTCACTTTCAACATCAAAAATTTCTTCTTCTTTGAATTTTTTTCAAAATTATTCCAAACACTTTAATCATAATTTATTTGTTCTTTTTAGCAATTTTCCAAAAAAAAATTTGAAAAAAAGTGCTTATTAGTTCCACTCTGTCCGTCCATCTGTTCCCCCGTCGGTCCATGTGTCTGTTTACAAAACTTCTACACCCTTGAAGATAGAAAGCTTATATTTTATATGCACATATATCTTTATTAGAAACTTACTTCCGTATAGAAGAGAATTTTTCTCTATCTCCCTTCCTCCAAAAATTATAACCCCCTAAAACGCTAAAAATGCCATTTTTAAACAATTTATTGCAATGAAACTATAAGTATTTTTCAAATTTTGTAAACACAGAAAAGCAATGAGTTGCTTCTTTTATGGCGGCATACCATACTTGAACTTTAAAAAAACCGAATGGCCTTTAAAATTTACCGTTATGTAAAATCCATTTTTTTTTTAAATATTTGATATCAGTTTTCTTCTAGACTTCAGGTTATAGGAGCCTGAAAGATCATCCTAAATGTATGCAATTTTTGAAATCGTATATGGATGAAAGTAATTTTATTAGTGTTTTGGGTACACCTCACTTGTTCAAGGGAAAAGTGCTACAATACAAACCATTGGTTTGATCCAACTTTATTTTATTTTCTTTTTTAACCTAGATAAGATTTCCTTCTTTCTTTTCTTCTATATATATGTATATTAAAAATATCCTGTATATTTTATTTATATAAAAAGATTTTAATCGATTTTAAGTGTATATGTACATAATATGTGTATTTATAGTTGTATATATATTTGTATATTGTATGCAGAAATATAAAACCTACATAAATAAATTTTTAGAAATATTCCATTAACGTTTTATGTACTTATATATACAATATTACCAAATCTACGGATTTTACAACCTAGAAGTATGAAATATTACAATTTAACATTTTAGATTTCAATATAATTCATGTAGAAACTATTGTTCTGTGTACATATGGAGAAAGATATATGCATAAGTAGTTGTATCTATATAGTTAGAGTATATATGTATAGGTATAGCGAAAATTCGGAACAAAAGGAAAATCTATATATTTATTATTATGTTTCCAAATTTATTTTTTACATCCGTTTATTACATAATATCTGTTTATTAATGGTGTATGGTATGTGTATTAGTAAGGGTGGGCCATTTACTAATTTTAGTTTTAAATGGAAATAAAGCAACGTATACTTACTGTTATATGCTAGTATTTTCGACAATATATTTGGTTTATTCTACAATTAAAATTGTACTGCTGTGCAAATCAATTTGATGGGAGATATGAATTAAAATAGACACTCTTATGATGCCATCCCTTACTTAGTTAATTCACATTTATATTATTCGTATATAAAATACGAGATGGTACCTTTCACTTAGAAGTTATTGGTGGAAAAATTTTAGCATAATTGAGCTCGAATT